CAGCTTCAAAAATTCACCTAATAAACCATCGTTTCCCAAAGTGCTTTCTCTACATAATTGTACTTCTTGGGATGCTGATTTTCCAATTCACTGGTCAGTCTGTTAACCTTAAAACAGTCTTCCGAGTACTTGTTCGGGCACGAACACCTCAAGCCCTGCGCTACTTGGAAGCAGCCTATATACTGTTATATGCAAGCAGCTAGACCGTGTGGTCAATATCGAAGTACTCTGGTAAGCTTATGCCTAGATTTACTTGCGATTGTGATTTTTGTTAATTTCCTATCCGATTTTTTTCCTACATGATGCTTTAAGGCAAGGTTTTTGATCTGAGCATTCTCTGTAGTTAACCAAGGCCCTTGATATTATGTGTTAACATTCTGCGTAAATTCAAACTACTGTTTGCTTCCATTCGTTATCAGTGTTATGCCCGGACGGGCTGAGATGTATGAGCCATTATGAAATTTGTTGGAAACAATTAACCCCCGCTGTACACGGCTGCTTTAAATGCATATGGCGAAAAAATGATTCAAAACATATTTTTAAGAAAATATAATTAATGTTGTAACTTACCATACTAACAGCCCAGGTACTAGCTAAAAGTCCCAGACACGTAATTAAATTTATAACAGCGAAGATAAGTAGTCCCATTTACATAATATAGACTCAGCCTTTTAATTTCCTTTGAAATTAGTTTTTGGACTTGAAGTAAATCGGTATATCCAAGACGTATAGGCATTGGCCGAAAGTTGATGTAAATATTTGGGCCACAGTCCGTCAGCCACTGTGGGATAACCGCGTAATATTAATAAGCTGCCAACTAGCAAACGGAAGTATAACTTCTACTTTAGCCAGGCTTATGCTTTTAGCTGGTACCTGGGCTGTCAATATAGTAAATTAAAACACCATAGTATGCTGATGTCTGCCAGTTGGCAGTATAGTACACCATTATCTCGCAGTGGCTGATGAAGTGGAGCCCAAATCTATGCATCAAATTTCGGTGTATGCCCACGGACATTGTATATAATAATTTGTACTAAGAGCAGAAATTAATTTCTTAGGAAATTAAAAAAAATGAACTTTCAAAACCGGTATATCAACCAGAAAGCCAACAGGCAAACCTGTGGGAGGGACCTTTGCAGCTGCGCCAAGTAACGGTAGGATACCGGCGAAAGACGTGTCTGCGTTTTCAGTTAGTCCCTATGTAGCCGGTATGGTAAATTACAACATCAGGTATAACTTATGTTTTTTGTCCATAATTGTGAATACTACGCGGTTATCCCACAACGGCTGATGGGTTTTAACTTAAATATTAACATCATACTGCGGTCTGTGCCTATATACCTTGAATACACTGATCCACACCATGTTCAAAAATTGCTTTCTAAGGAAACTGGAAGGCTGACATTTCTAAGCTGATGTATCATGGAGAAAGCACACAGAGCCTGCTGGACAATCCACTGATGAGCTCGGCCCCTCGAAGCTGAGTCAAGCAGCGAAAGAATACCGCCAAAACACCTGTCTGGGCTTTAAGCTAATATCTCGACTGCCAGTATGGTCCGTAATTGCATAGTTAAGTTCCGGTTGGCGGTCGAAAAATAGCTCGTTCATTCTGATGTGACTGCAAAAGCCTGAGATTATGCTCCATAATTATTAATAGTACAACCCTCCCTCCGTAAGTAATATTTTGTAATCGAAAACACGCTTTAGAAATTAGGTTAACATCTTATAAGAGAGCGAATGTACTGTAGCCGAAGACATGTGGCGAGTGATCAAAGCGGTGGCTAAAGGTGTGGAGACGGCGTGATTTTGGATGAGGGTGGATATTTTGGTAGAAGTAGTCGTGCACGCATGTGCGGAGGAAGAACTTGCATGGTAGGCGCCAGCCCCCTGCAGCTTTCAGAATTTACAAGCGAACCAACTGATTTTTCATATCCTCGAAGACATTTTGGTTCTGGTTTCGACCAGGTCCAATGCAGTTGTTTTCAACCTTATCGATGTCTCTGGTACCGTTTTGACGATGGGATGTATAGCCCCCCTTTTTGAGATGTCGCGATGGCTAGGACGGAGGCTGAACATTAACCAAAACCACCAAAATAGTCCGACCGAGTCCTGCAGAGCAAGTGAGACGCCAGCAGAAGGCGTTTATTTTGTACTAATGGCAATTTTGGTGCTCAAAACAGGGCCGGCTCTAGAAG